TGAATTGCAGTTTTTACAGTTATAGTGGATAATGTTAGATAACAATAGTATGTGTGTTGTGTTTTACCGTACACCTGATATTTCTGTTATTTTAATCTTTTTTGCGTAGCACGGGAGTTCAACAGAAAGACCACACAGCATTCGCACCATTGACTTTTATTTTGGTCTCTGTCCCCGAACGTTTCTAACCAACGATAATGCTCATCCCTTGGGCCCGAACCTGAAAGGCGACTGCACCAATCGAAGACAAAGCTGAAGCTAACCTCCTCATACCTCTACTCCATGTCAAGGTGTGACCGCCACAATGTTTCTTCCAGCATTTCCCTGCACTTGTAACGTGACCAATCCATCTGAGGTAGTTTAGAGCGATTACTTCTGTTGGAGAGGGACTATTCCCACCCAACACGGCGATGGCTTTCATCATTGCCCACACGATGTTTCCACCGGACACGAGCAATACTTCGGAGATATCGGTGGTCGAATATAGATAGTCTATTAGCATCTTCCGGTCGGAGAGGTCAGGTCTCGCAACCGTGTAGCAGAACACTACGAACTGTGGCGATGTACGCCCTTCCCTTAAGGGATAGTTGGATGTCATGACGGCACCACGGGTGTCAAAGGTAGGCAAACGTTGTTATAGCTTTTGCTATTCGTAATGTGCTGTCCTCCCTAACATCAACTCTAGCTGCAATCAATATCCCGGGGTACTTAAAGATCTCAACTGCTTCCAGATAATAAACACAGAGGGCGATCACAAGCACGGGCTCCTGCTACGAGCACTTTGCTCTTAGATGGTGCAAAAGCACATACCATACCTGCGTAAGTCTATCGCCAAACGGTCTAAAGCGTGTTGGACTGCTAGTGTATTGTCACCCAACAAGGCAATGCCATCGGCATATTGTAAGTCAAGTACTCCGTTTCCCGGGAGGAGTTCGACTCTATAGTTTGCCAAATCAGACAAAGCATTCCTTAGAACATGCTGTGTGAAAACGGATTGGGAATATAGGGCAGCCTTGTCGCACTCCATTGTAGGCCGCAAATGGAGGCGAACGGCGGCCATTGGTCCTAACCGGACCTGAGGTGTAACTCCTTGAGGATGTGTACATATTTCTCACGTACTCCATTTCTCAACAAACAGTTCCATAGTGCGGTCCTATCAACTGAGTCGAAGGCCTCACGGATGTCTAAGAACACAATGATCGTTGGTCTTTGATAGGCATGAAGATGCTCTAGCAGCTGTCAGAGAGCGAAGATGTGTTCAATGTGTTCAATGTCCGCGACTGACGCGAAACCCATCCTGCTGCTCACGCATATTTTACAATCGGTGGAGAATGAGGGACGCCAATAGCTTTGACGCCGTCGGGATAAGGCTTATACCCCTGTGATTGGCTCAGTCACGTCGCAAGCTCTTTTTGAAGATTGCGACGACAATGGATTCCATCCCAAGAGGGGGGCGGGAATCTGCTCAGTGTGCCAAACTTTCAAGAATAGAGTTGCCAATTCTGTAACGCGGTTTATTCCACCATCTTTGAATAGAGCTGGAGGAAGGCCGTCGGATCCTGGCGCTTTGTGAAGTCTCAAGGCTAGAATCTCCTTAAGAATTTCCGCCTCAGAAGGTGAGTCTAATAAGACAGACCGCGGGACATGTGCCAGAGTAGCTATGTGGAAAACTGACGCTGGTGGCCAGATAGACTATCTGGAAGTGCTTAGCCCGGCGTGTAAGACATCGTTGTTGATTATTAATGGGAGCCATCTTCTTCGCAGATCGTTTCGCTTAAACCAAAGGCTTTCCTACCGATGAGTCGGATGAGATGGAAGAGCTTACGGGAATTTCCCATGGCGATAGCACATTCCATCTCTGACGCGCGTTGAGTCCACCAGATCTCGCGGCCTCTGCGTAAGCGTTCGCTAAAACTGCGGTTGGCATCCGCTTGTCAAATGAAAGGGCAAGCGACGGTGCATGTTGCTGCGGCAGGTCGCTATGTGGTTGTAGGTAAATAGTGGGCAGTATGGGAACAAAAGATCTGGTGACCGTATGTAACACAAGCTTGGTGACTAAATTTACCTCTCAAGGGTGTCCGCATGGACACTATCATCCAAACTGAGCACTTATGATACACAACAGTTGTGCGTGTGTGTATGGTTATGGTGACTAATAATTCCGACATTGCAATGGTTTGCTACCATACCTAATTTCACTTTGGTACGACTGTCTCCTACTAGAGGATGAGTCGGCTTTCTCGATACCTCAAACGACAGCTTGCAGTGCTTCGTAGTTCGTGATGAGGTCAGTTCACGTAGTAACCCAAACTTAGTTACATAGCCCGATTCCATAGATTTCATATAGATCTACGCATTCCACTTCCGACTTCACCGGATCCGCTCATGTGTTAAGCTGCTCCCTCGCACCTTTTTTCCAATCACACTTCAGAAGTGCTCGCAAGCTGTATCCACCTTTAAGGATGCCTAACGCATGGCGGTGTAGGTGAGATCTCTCAGTGCGTAATTAAAGTAAGATTGATGTTTGCTAATCTGTTGCATCTCTAGCGCCGGCCCCACATATCTCATTTAAAGGTTTATATATATGTATATAAGATGACCATAGGTATTTATGGAAGAAGCACGGAAGTGCGAAGTTGCACTGACGTTTCCTAGCCTGACTGCGAAAGGTCTGCCAGCAACACTTCCAGCTCGGATAACACACTAACAGCAGCAACGCGGCATAATGTTTTCCCCAACATTATTCGTTTAATACATTGTACTACTGTTCAGCTTATCTGGAAAATCCACCCAAGCGAAGATTATGATTGCATTTTCTTCAGTTTTCGCTGTAATCCCTCTAGGTCTCTTCACCTCTGCTTTTTTTCGGAACGGAATTCTCCGGTTTCATTTTAGTGCATATCGATAAAATAAATTTTACACATACCGGTAGATTGGTTTTTACAACAGAAAATCCTGATTTTTTTGTTAAATTACTGTAATTTCAGTACAATGTCGCATTCGATACAGTGGTCAGTGCGGATTCAGACGGAATGCTCGAATATTGGGCCGGTCCGAGTCAGAACTTTGAATTTCCTCGTGCTGTGAGCTGGCAGTTCAAATCGGATACCGATTTGTACTGTTTGATGGGTGCTCAAACGCACGCCCTAAACATGACATGCACAACGGATGGAAAAACTCTAGCCATACTGGCCGCAGACCGTAAGGTGAGTTGTTCACCCTCATCTACTGGTTCTCCTCGAAGGGTTTTTGTTTGCTTTAATTACTTTTTGCTTGTGTGAATTAAATTTTTTATCTATTTTCTGAAGCTTTACCAGCTCCCGATGGACGGTCTTTCAAACGTGAGCATTGTCGTAAGAAAAAGAGTTTGATTCTCATTAAATGTACTTTTTTCACTGCGCCCATTTTTGTGTATGCTAAATAGCATATGGGGTGAACCCCATACTCGGGTAAACCTACTACTCTGTGATGAAAACCAGCAACCTAAGCCCTAGGACTTGGAGTGGTGAACTACATAGAGGCCCCCCGCCAGGTTAGGAGTGATATTGAACCAGAAGGCAGCAACCTGCCCAACATCAAAGTTGGGTAGCACCGACCGGGTTCGAACTTCATGCAATTGGGCCCAAAGCACGCAGTTTACATTGGCTAAACCATTGCGCCACCACCACCGAATATTCGAACCGATGAACGGTGTGTTGGCGGTATTTTAAATACCCATTAGATCCAGTTCTATGCGGATATTTTGCAAACCATTTTCGCCATTTATATTTGACAGCAAATGCTTCATGTAGTGGCAGATAGTTGCGTGAATGGTGGATCTCGCGATGCATACGTTACACTGAAATGTTTTTTCTATGCGAACAGTTCGTATCTGTGCTTTTTTGCATATATTTGCTTTCAAATTAAGTTTTTTGAAGCGCGCTTTTGCGAAATATGATGTGTATATCACACTTTTTCGACTGGTGTAATACCACAAACAAATTTAGGAGTGCACATCATTGCTGGGACACTGAGATTAACGGTGAAATGGATTTACTCCTCCGAACATGTAAAGGTCAACGGGTCTTTAGTTTGAATATTCCCACGTTCGTTCGTTGTACCAGAAACGGAAGCATGCTAAATAGACGTATAACAAGTTATCGAGGCGGTTATGAGGTAATTGCACAAACCACTGATTATTTGAAGTTAAATTTTCCCACTTGATGCCGTCATGCTATGATAATAGTTATTACTGGCGTAATTCTGATCGTAACTAATGTATCAGTAAATGGTCAGGTCCGAGTATCAATTCGATTTTGATCACCTCAAACATTATGGTCTGGGGATTACAATTCCTTGTATTTCAGGGAGTCAAGAACTTTCCTGAGGACCGGTCCCTCGTTTGCAGGCTGGTATTTATTACCGACGAACTCAGATTTTTTACCTTCTGAGATTCGCCAAAAACTCATTTGGATACATCTAGGATATATAACAGTCAGAAGTCTCATTCGCCGTTTTAAAAATGTTCCGGACGTATATGATCGTTTCAATTAAACCGCAGTTTTTATGTGCCACTACACGATGGGTTGAAAAGAATTAAACGACCTCCAGTTGATTGCACCAACCAAAATCACAGACTTGACTGACACCGGAGTTGTTGCATGCGTCAATGTACAATCTTGGATGCGTAGACGCACCGAATCACTGTGGTGTGGATCTAGGCCTGTCCTCATGTAGCCTTTGTAATAAGCAAGTCCTTTTGTAGTTGAAGTTTGTTCCTTTTCTACACACCTCGTAAATCGGGATTGAATCCACCCCCTCCAAAAAATGGTTTGCACTTTTGAGTAGTGAAAAGACCACAATATTCTGTGAGTGATCTTTTTCCCGTATTATCTTTCAGTAATATATTGGCTCGTCCGTGGTTCAGGCCGTTGGGAAAATATGCATACATTCGTTTTTCTTTTGAATACGGATTTTTGTGTACAAAGTGACTGGAGATTTCTCACATGAGTAAATTCTAAATAATCGTTTGTAACAACCCTAGCACACATTCTGCCATATTGTTTTATTATTGGTTTCGTTTACCATTGTTACTCCTGTAATGCAGGTACGGTTGTTCCGTTTCGCTACCGCCAAATTGATTCGAGTCTATGATGAAAGCCTGCAGCTTTACTCCGGTCTTCAGCAGGTAAGACCTACAGATCATGATAAAAGTTGACAGACAAAAGCACGGAGCCATTATTTCTTACTTGTTTTGAACTGTAGTTGTTTCATTCCAGTGGAGACAGAAACCGTCAACGTTCAACTTGGATACCGAAGCCGTTACTCTGGGACCACTCGGTCAATAGTTTGAGTGTGCTCTAATAATTAAAATACGCACTGATATCGTGTTCAAAAGCTTGCGTAGAATAACTTCCAATCTCGCTTCATTTTACTCTTGATTCTATGCTACTATGCTGTCCGAAGATCACCAAAAGTCAAACTGTGGTGCCAGTCAATATGATACTTTTTCAACCGCATTTGTGAGGCAAAAATCACTGGTGTGCTTATAAGATGCATTGTTGATGAGTTGCTAATATCTCTTAAATTTATTAACTAGATACTTTCTAATTACCAAGCGGTTAACCCAGAAAATCCTGGTTGTGCAGATTTATACTCTATATAAAAATTTCTCATGGAGGACTCGCTCTACTCGGTTCTAAATTGTGATATTCCAACGGTTGTCACCGCTTCCCCCAAACAAAACAAAAGAACTTGAACACTGAATTAATATTCATAATCAGGAAACTGTGATATGCAACTGTATTTCTTGCTCATCTTTGGTGCGGCGGCATCTTTCCTGTCTATCGCTGTAGAAATGCCAATTCAGCCTTCATGGTTGAAGTAGTAAAAAGCCTTTGGCACATATGTCCGCATTTCGGAGTGCATCCTTACTTCGTGGCGTCCCCGGTCAAGTCCCGCGAAGGAAACCCGATACCTTTTGCCCTTGTCCTCATTCTCGGATTACAAGTGCTCGCTAGTTTCACTTTTCTTTTCGTGAGGGTGTGTGAACCCGTGATGTTTTATAGGGGAATCCGTCGTGTATAAAGCAAATGAAGCGTGAACTGAAAGGCTGGGAGACACTGTATAACTGTTTCGAACTGGTTGGGTCTCACCAGCAGTGCTAATCCATCGACACATATGGGGATAGAACCAGGTCGAAATAGCTGCACCATGCTTCCTAGCTTTTCAGTTCACGCTTCATTTGCTCCATACACAACGAATTTCCCCATAAAATTGAATCAAATCATTCACTACTCATGTAACAAGTAATCAGATTGGAACGTTCCTACCGAGTCCTAAACCTGGAGGCTAGTGCTGAGATGAGCGATGCGCGATGCCTGCAACAAGCTCGCAAAGATGGGTTGTGCTAACTCCTGTAAATGGGAAATGAAAAACGATCTGATCAGCCACCGGGTGGCCAAATGGGTAGTACGCTTGCGTTCTGTCTGCGAGGTCACTGGTTTGATCCCAAGTCGATGGATTTGCACTGTTGACGAGATCCAACAAGGATGAATTTCCCTATAAATCATCATAGTTATCGTACAGCGAGACACAGAGAAGTGAACTTCGCTAATGGCTACCAAGCTCTCAATGTACACAAAGTAAGTGAGAAAGTACGAGATAGACAGGGGTTGGACCCAACTGGAAGGTGGAAAAGAGATTGAACCTCTGTGGTCAACATCGAGTACACAACCTAAGTATGCATACACACCGTTTCGAGCATTCTGACCTGATTAGAAATTAAAAAGAAGAGAGCGCCACTGCTGTCGGTTAGTTGCCGTATCCTTCAGTGTCTCCAACCAACCAGTTGCAGAGTCTTCCGGACCCAAACATGGAGGATGGGAGACACCTACTCCACCTGATGGCTCTGTGAATTTCTTCATGCTTCGTCTCCACGTCATCTGTTAACCTACTTGTGGTTTCCTCCTACACGCAACCGCAACTGCCAATATGGCGCGATGAGATAGCTGACAGCTGGGCATACGCAATACGAGTACTAACCAATGAAGCCGCAGTATACGCGGCCTTCCAATTTCAAGGAAATATCATGTCTGCACCAAAGGTGTGTCTTTCCCGCGGAAGTTGCTCGAGCCTTGGAAAAGCGGGTGGTTACTTCATTGACTACGCAACCCGTCATTAGTCACGCAATTACCTTAGTAGGAGAAACAATCCGCTTTAACTAATTCTCGATCATCAAGCAGCAGCTCCGAAGTAGTCTACACCCAATCTTGTAGCATCACTTTGCACTTTGAAGGTGCAAATCGCATACCAAATGTAATTACAGAACATAAAAGTTTCAGCAGAGCTTTGCACATCCTCAGTACATTCGAACAGACAAGCGGTGCCGTCAGCCTACACTAAATCGCGCAACTTTTCTCCGGATACCCATTCAATACCAACATTTTGGAGACCACTTGGTGCTTTCTCCACTATTTCGTCTACGACGAGGTTGAATAGAAATGGCGAAATAGGGCACCTTTGACGAACATCGCTGTTGGTTTCGAACGATTTGCGTAGCCCACCGTAGACTCCAACGCTACTCGAAGTATGCAGGTCAAGTGTTCGCAATAGGTTTACATAGTTCTGCGGGCTTCCTTTGCGAAGCAGTGCATCCATTAGCGATTCACGGTCAAATGAATCAAAGGCTCCTTCCAGGTCAAAAAACACTGCAATTGTTGGTTAACGATGTTTGCGGTGCAATTCCAGGACTTGACGCGGAGTGAAGATTTGGTCGACACAGCTGCAACATGGTTGCAGTTCTGCTGGTCGTCGTGATTACTCATCTCCGTGATGGATGTCAGACGGCGAAGTAGCACAGAAGTTAACACATTGTGATGATCGAAACTAAACTTATCCCATGGTGGTTTGCGCAGTCGTTGTGTGATCCCTTCTGGAAGATCTGAACGATCAACGAATAACCCCCAGATAAAGCTATACGCCCCTCCGACCAAATGCTGCGAAGTAAGTTAGTAATCGAGTCGGCGAGAGAGTCATCACACAGCTTGAAAATAATAGGAAGAAGCCCATAAGGTCCCGCTGCCTTCTCTTTCTTTGATGATTGAATACAACTTCGTACTTCTAATTCTGACGGGGGCTCACGTGTTACCATCCCTGGGGCTTCCGCTGCAATTGCCGGAATAACCGGTTCCGTCGACTTCCGGTGCTGCATATCAGATGAAACAGTTTTTGACTATTCCCTGGTGTAGAAGCTACCTCCATCTCACTAGCTATTTTGGCCAACCAGTTCTCGTGGTCTTAAGGCTTTTCCTAAACTTACTTCATCTTTAAAAACTAGATCAAACTTGATTGTGTTTGAATACTTTCGAATAAAATGGAACCTGTTGTTCGATTTCAATTTGAGAAGCTACAAATCACAAACCTTTCGTTTGTATGCCACTTACTATGGTGCCCCTCACTTCCCTTCGATAGACCAAACAACTGCTTCCCAGTATGGAATTCGGTCGCCGTTTGGCACAAGAAAAAGAATTGGACCGTTCGGAATTTAAATACAACTGTAACCTGGGTGAGCAAATTCGTGACACACGGTTCGAACATAGATGCGCATTCGGTGCCCCCCTCCTCGCGTGTCTCTGTCTAATCTCTGCAGTTTAGGTCTCTGATATTGGCTTACTTACGGTCTTCATGTTTGAAGTTCAAGTCGTGCTATGTATGTGGTTTTCTCCCTCTATTATTTACCGTTCAATGGTGCGATAAAGATATCAGGACTAAGTTTCTATCGTACGATGTCTCTTCAATCCTCTCACCATTTGCTTACCGCAATTGGTCTCCTGATCGATTGAACTCTGTACGCAAGCTAAGAACGTCTTCGTGTGTATCTGTTTTACAAAAGTTATCTCGGATGATTTGTACGAGTCTCTTTTCTGAGGAGCTGGTCATTGGTCTGGTCAAGATCTCTGAGCAGATTTGAGACGTTTTAGCATCAATGTCAAAAATTAAATCAGTGGCTCACATTTGTCAGCCGTACATTCGCTGTGCATAACCACGTTTTACGATAAAAATTGAATCTTTGCGTTTTTACGAACCTGTAGAATAATCAGCTATCAGCTGTAAGCAGAAGTCAGCCTCGTTATTCAGATTGTTGTTACGCCTGGAGTTAGAGCTCGTTGATAATTTCTGCTGTTCCGGTCACCAATCTAGTCATGCTGTTCGAAGTTTTTTGTAATGTGAATAGTTAACGAGATTTCACAATCAATCTACAACTAAAATATCGACTGGGGGACCTTTAGCATATGACTAAACTGGGGTCCCAGAAATACTGGTGTACTAGTATCAAAGATTTGATGAAATTTGCTTCTTGGATTCGAAACAAACTAGGGATATCGAATGATTTTTTGCCACTTACCCCATTTCACTGCATTCTGGTTCTTGCACTCCATCTCTTTGTGTTTATGACAGTTTTTCGTGTCAATTACAAATACTTGCCCCCACTTTGATAATCATGCATCACTGCAATTCTTGTTCTCACGTCAGTGTTCGACAGTTCCGGAAACTTCCTGGTCTATGCAACTTTGTTAGGCATAAAAGTAGTGAACGTAAAAACAAATCGTGTGGTGCGGAGTTTAGGCGGTCCGGAAAACCTTCGATTTCTTCAGTTAGCCCTACTGCCTCCGCGAAGTGCTCTGGCCATGGCGACCAGTTCCATTGGCGCAGTCGGCGCGGGGACATCCACATGTACGCCCAGTCTGGAGATGCTGGCTATGGCCAATGAGGATACATGGGCAAGCAATCATTCCGCCACGGGTGCACCCATCTCAGCCGTGGCCGCACTGAATCCAGTTCTGGTATGTACCGCGTTCAAGAAAAATCGAATCTATCTATTCACAAACCGCGAACCACATGATATCAAGGCTGAGTAAGTTACACAAGCCCTTTATTCACAAACTGTGCTTTTGTTGCATGACTGCGAATGGGTCGATGCACGCTCGTGTGCTCCAGTGCCGTTATGTCGTCATATTCAATATTCTAGAAACTTCAAATCTACCAAACATTCATTTGCACAATTAACCTTGTCTTAGATGTTCATTCGGTGGACTCCGGTGAATTCTAAGGAAAACCTGTCGAGGCAGTCAGACATGTTGATTGGTGGATGCCATGTGCCTCTGTAAGTTGGATGGGTAATTCGAATGTGAAAAGATCTGTGCTATCGGTGTGGCCTTGTAGCTCAGCTGGTAGAGCGTGCGCGTACAAAGCGTAGGCGGCTTCCATGCGTGGGTTCGAATCCCACCGAGTCTACCGAACTTTTCACAATCGTCATAGAAACTTCAACCATCCATATTCAATATTCGTTTTGCTATTGAACAGTCAAACTGTGAG